ATCTTACTCCTCGCTTGAAACCATACAACTTTGTTATTGGACATTTTCTCCAAAATGCATTCTAACTGAAGATATTAGGGGGGTCCGATACTTTTCTATGACCGTGTATATTTGTAATTGAATTACGTTAAAGATTAGGTTTACATAAATTACATAAAAATATAATTGTTGAGTTTACATAAATTTCGTAAATTAAGTTAAAAATAATCATTAGAATTACATACATCGAAGAAAAACTTGACAAGTCGACATGGTTACCCAAGCAGCAAAGCAGGGCATCTTTACCAAATCAAAGTCAGATCGCCCTAATTAAGTGAAAAATTACCAATTTTCGACATAAAAAACGTCTTAGAAGTCAAATATTGTTTGAAGTCTTGTGTACAGGTCGAAAATTACGAAATTTGAACCTGTGAAATGCCTTCAAAGTTCAATGACTTCAAAGTTATACATTAGCTTATAAATGACTAAATTTTGATCAAAGCTATGCCTTTAAAGTCGATTTAACTTATAAGTCAAAATTAGAGTCCCGTTTGAAGGAAATGTGACCTGATTGTATTACCTAATTTCAACCTCATATGCGATATGACTTAATTGGTTAAAATTACCTAATTTTTGCTGTATATAAATCGTTTGTGTTTAACTTGATGAATCTGGAATATTTAAGGCGCGAAATAAACCTTGTGGTCGCTGGAAATTAACTACAAAGTTGAGATTATCACGGAAAATGACTAATAAGGAAAATTGATCTAAGATTAGGTCGAAATGCCCAGCAAAATTATCTTGAAAGTTAATGATTGGTCTTGGACATTATTGAAAGTCGCCATATCCTGTTTGTTGCACAATCGCGTCAGTTATTTTCTCGATATTGGTTATGAAGAAGTAAAAAATCGCTTGTTCAAGCAAGACGCGTTTTTCTCTCTGTGCTGGGTGTTGTCATCTCTAAAAGGTTAAAAGCGTAATCTCGTCATAATTATAAACTAGTAGGCTAAGTTAATTTCTCTGACTGAGAACAGCTAGCAATTAAAGGTAGAAGAAGTTCGTCACATTTTTTGAGAAAATCAGAATGCCGAGAATGAAATATAAACCATATCGTTTAACGACAAGTTATTACCGGAATTTTAAGAAAAATTTTGAAAAAGAGGGTAGTAAAAATACCAAAATATATGCTCATACCAGTCGAGATGTTATCAATACAAGTGCTACAGAACAAATAATTACGGAACCTCAAGATGTGGACGTCTACGTAAATGGTACACATAAATTTGAATATCCGTCAACTTGTGAAGAATTTGAAATTCTGAATCTCATTCAAACAAGATGAGTTTGATAAAAGCGAAGAAAAAATAATAGAAGACAAACTGACATTGTTAACCAAACTTCATCATTGGGCGATCTCACATAAATTAACATTGGCTTCAGTTACTGATTTATTAAAAATATTAAGAAGTCATGGTATGTTGGAATTGCCAAAAAAAAGACGGTAGAACACTTTTAAAAACTCCCAATATAACAGAAATTACAGAGATGGGTAGAGGCAAATTTTGGTACAATGGAATTAGAAGCAATTTACTATCAGTACTTTCAAACCGCTGTGATATTCAACCAAGAACAATTAAATTACTTTTTAATATCGATGGAATGTCACCGTTCAACAGTTCATTATATCAATTTTGGCCTATTTCATTTATCGTTGAAGAAATGCCTGAGCTGCAACCAATGATTGTAGCGATTTATTACGGCGAAAACAAATCTCCACTTCAGTTATATTTGAAACAATTTGTACATGAATTGAACGAAATTCTTAAAGATGGATTATTCATAAATGCACAGAAAGTAACTGTCAGCGTAAAATGTTTTGTTTGTGATACACAAGCTAGGAATTACATTAAAGGTAATTTATTATAAGTAATGTTTGATGTGTGTGATATATTGAGATGCGTTTCATAAACCGAAATGTTTAATTTATTTGATGTGACAATATAGGAACTCCTGCTTGTAACGCTGAATATGGAAGTTGTATTAAATGTACAGTTGTCGGTAAATGGGACACGAAGGGAAGACACATGAGCTACCCAAGATTTGATTGTCCTCGAAGAACTGATGAAAGCTTTCGCAATAAAACGAACGAAGATCATCATAAAGAAAACACGCCATTGACAGATTTGCCAATTGATATGGTGGAAGACTTTGTAGTTGCAGATTCTCTTCATCTATTCGATTTAGGCATGCATTAAATTTTTAACAGTCATACTTCAATTTCATGTTTCATGACATAAATAAATAATTTTGTGCAGGTATCATGCGTAGGTGTTTATATGGGTGGCGCGAAGGAAGTTATAATTTTCGTACGAAGTTGTCGAATATTCAAGCTGATGAAATGTCACAGATGTTAAAATCCTGTAATGATACGAAACCAATGGATTTCCAACGATCTATACGTACTCTGAAACATCTTAAATTTTGGAAAGGTTCGGAATACCGAGTTTTTTTTGTTATACTTTGGTCCCGTAATCTTAAAAGATTTTTTGTCATCAGAAGTTTATGAGCATTTTCTATATCTTAGTACTTCAATTACAATACTTTCATGCAAATATTATTCTCAGTACTTAGATATTGCTCAAATTTTATTAAATTCTTATCTCGAGCAATTTATAGACATTTACGGAATTGTTTCAATAAGCAGCAATGTTCATAACATTTGTCATGTCGTAGATGATGTTAGAAAGTTTGGTCCTCTATCTGAAATTAGTTCGTATCCATTCGAGAATCATCTTGGATACATAAAATCGTTGATTCGTAGTGGCAATTTGCCACTAAGTCAACTAAGCCGAAGAATTCTTGAATTATTCTCATTAAATCGTTCAAACAATACAAAAAATTCTTGTATATATGTCGAAAATGAAATTATTGATCATATTCATGAAATACCAATGTGTAGAAATGCTTATAAGAGACTACATTTAACGAATGATTTTGTTTTGAGTAATGATAATAAAAATAAATACTTCATGACAAAAAATGGACAGATTGTATCTATGATAAATGCAACTTATATTGAAGATGAAATCCATGTCTATGGTGCTAATCTTAAAAACAAGTATAATTTTTTTGTAAAACCTTTTGCATCATCTCGACTAAATATTTTTGCTTCAAAAGGAATAATCCATAAGAATTCAGGACGTACAAAATATATATGCGATTTCGGTGATCCAATCCTATATTCATTAAGCGACATAAAATGTAAATTATTTTGTCTTCCGTATCACAATGAATTTATTTTCATCTCATTATTACATACACTAGATATTGAACTTAAATTGTAGTGACTATTTCAATATCACAGTACAAGTATTTTATACATATGTGATGTATATTGATGATACAGTAATGTATATTAAAAAATTATAATTACATATTAAATAATGTTATTTGTCACGTCCTTGGGCGCGTGTGTGCGAATGCCC